AGAAAGAAAGAAAGAAAGAAAGAAAGAAAGAAAGAAAGAAAGAAAGAAAGAGAGGAAGAGAATTTGCCTTTGTAAATCTTGGCTTCTTTCTCCTCTTATGCTTTTACTAGAATATTTAGGAAGTTATATGGACTATATAAATAAAGTACAACATTGAAGGAAAATAAATATGACATCGATACAAGCACCATCCAATACACATTAGTGTAACAACCTTTGTACATGTGCGTATGTTTTTATGTGTGCAGACACAGATGTGCACATGAATGAATGTGGACCAGATCCAGATGTTGATGTTGGGGGTGTCTGTTAGTGACTTGCCCTCTTATTCTTTGAGACGTAGCCTGTCAGTGACTGCTGAGCTCATTATTTTAGCTAGATCAGCTGGACAGTGGGATCCAAGTCTTTTTATAGCTTGGTTTCTCCAGTGTTCAGATAAGAAATGCTGCACAAAGTTGTTACATGGGTAATGCACATCTGAACTCATGCTTGCTCTGAAAATACTCCAACTGCTGAACCAACACCACAGCCTTTCATTTGGAATGATTTTATTTCTGGTATTGCATTACATTTGTCTAACCATTTCCAATTACTACAATTAAGATTATTAATTTTCACAACTTCTGAGAGTAGATCTTGAACTATTGCTTTTATAAATTTAAAATAGAGGCTATCCTAATAGCCTATTGCTTTCTATGAGCATAATCAGTTAGTGTATTTCAACTTCATGTAAATGCAGTTTCCTTTAATGTATTTTACTATTTAGAATATGCAAATATTGTTGCCAATTATCATAACTATAAAGAACAGATTACTTTTATTATCTGCTGATTTTGAACTATATCTTGGCATTATGAAAGCATTAAATAAAAGAAAGATATTTGTCTTACGTTGCCTAATTGTTACTGCTCACAGCCACCACATGTTCTTACAATGTGGGGACAGGAGGTGTGCATGTGTATGACAGAAGGAGAGCAAGTTTGAGGCAGCCTTGTCTACATACTGACATCCAGCAAAATTAACAAATGGCTTTTATTGTAAGAAAAGAATAAACCTTAATCATTTCTAGTTACAATTTCTTACTTTCATAGTGTAAGAAAGGCTCAAGAAATTATACTTCTTTCCCCAGCGAGACTTCCTTCAGGTGAGAATGTATGAATATGCCATCATAGAAATTTGTAGTTTAATCCAATATTGCATTTTCTCTCTTACAGACAAAACATGGATGCATACGCCTGAAGCCTTATCAAAACATTACATCCCCTATAATGCAAAGGTAAAATAGTTAATGGGGTTTTATCTGATTTTGCATTGTTAGATGTTGTTTTGAATAGTTGTGCTAATGTAAAAAATGCTTATGCATTGACATTTCCTGGTAAGTGGTATTTGAAACTAATTTGATATTACTGAAATAAAATAACATGAAAACAGTCCTTTTAAAAAAGTATACTCTAGTTTCTCCACAGTCATGTGTTTCATTTATGCTTTTTATTATGAGTTATTTAATAATAGACTATTTTTACATTTTTAATTTAATTTTTGCAATGTCATTAATACTTATTTATTTATTTATTTATTTATTTATTTATTTATTTATTACAATTTCATTGCCTCTGGGAAATTAAGCAACTTAAAAATTATCTTCCCTTAAAGGCATTTTAATATTGTTGTACACTGACAGCAAATAAAAGCTAATCTGGGAAAGTGAGATACAGTTTTCATATGCAATTCTTATTCAAGAAAAGAAGCTCCAGACGCTGGTGGCACATGCCTTTAATCCCAGCAGAGTTGGAGGCAAGTAGATCTCTGGATTCAAGGCCAGCCTGGTCTACCAAGTGAGTTCCAGGACAGCCAGGGCTACACAGAGAAACTCTGTCTTGAAAAAACAATAACAAGAATAACAACAATGAAATAAAAAAAGAAAGAAAAAGAGAAAGAAAGGAAGGAAGGAAGAAGGGACATGTAAACCATAAAAGGATAAAATGCATTTTCACTTTCATTGCATTACTGTATTTTGATGAAGAAGCGTTAATACATATGCCATCATTCTAAAGATTTGATCTATTGTTTGAAATTTTTCCGATGGGATATAATTTATAAACTGGACAGTAGAGAATAATGTGACTTTGCAGTTAGCAAAAGATCTGATCTAGTTTTCAAAGGAATCTGAGTCAAAAAGTTGAAGAGATAGAAACAAATGTAATATTTGAGATTTTTAAATATGAGGCTAAGGTAAGCTTGGACTGCTGGACTTTGAAGACAGCATGAAAGAAGTAGGGAACTTTAATATTTTAGAAGAGAGATTAAGGATTTAGAGATTAACAGACTATACTTTGTGATACAATAAGCATAGACTTAGGCATTCTTTTAGGAAAAATGAGAAGTTTACTGAATAGAAAATCAACCTGAACAGGGATGGCTCATGTCTACATCAGCAGGGAGAAATATGCAAAAGACCTGAGGAAGAAACCGCCTCAGAATGTGTTCTCAGCATCAAGATTTGTTAGGAACAGTAAAAAAAAAAAAAAAAAAAAAAAAAAAGTGATTTTATAGAAAAAAATGCTCTAAAATGCCTTCCATGCAACAAAAATATTCGGGAAATTCCTCTAACATTTACTAATTCCTTTATAAAATTAGCATGGAGGCTGATCGCCACCACTTATTGTGTAACACTACTGAGCCAAAGAAAAATTTTATTACCTATCATACCAAGTATTTATCATAAATAGAAGGTGATATATATATATATACATATATATATACATACAGATATGTATACATAATATATACATATATACATTTGTATGTAGAGAGAGAAACATACCATTTAGACAACTATTATTTTAAGCGGCTCAGTCAGGCCTTGGCAGTCATAATACAATTACATATTTTAGGTGGAACTATCAAGGGCTATTTCATATTCTGTAATTAAGTGCATCATATCAAAATGCTGGTTTGTTACGATTAGGGAGGCTCTGTTCTAATCACCATCTCTCACTTGAATACTTCAAGGCTAATGTGACCTTGGAGATCTGTATGTAGACAGTATTAAATTGCTTGTGCTGTACCAGATTGATAACTGTAAAACAAATGACCCTAATGAAAAGTGACAGAACACGTTCCCACACAGGGGCCAGCAGCATTCTGTAAGGCTTCTGTAGCAGTATCTGGCACACAGATGCTGTTTAATGAATGAATGAGTGACTAGGTGTTATTATGTGCCCTTGTTTTTCACGTAGTTTATTATGGAAAAGCAAGTTGCTTATGTGAGTTTTAAATAGACCTCACTTGTGAATATGTATATCATATGTGCACCAAGTAGAATTGCAGCAATCTGAAAAACATTCATTTCCCCTCTTTGTAGCACTTTGTATTTTTAGTAGATCTATGATAAAAATGTGCTCTCCTACCTAGCAGTGTATCAAAGCAAATACTAAGACTCATAACCAAACCTTCGGCAGAGTGCAGAGAATAATATGAAAGAAGGTGCAGTCAGTATGACGTGGAGAGGATAGGAGCTCCACAAGGACCAAATATATCTGGGCATAGGGGTCTTTTCTGAGATGACACTCCACCAAGGACCATCTATGGATATAACCTAGAACCTCTGCTCAGATGTAGCCCATAGTAGCTCAGTATCCAAGTGGGTTCTCCTTGTAAGGGGAACAGGGATTATTTCTGACAGGAATTCAATGGTAGGCTCTTTGACCTCCCCACTCCCCCAGGGAGGAGCAGTCCTGCTAGGCCACAGAGGAGAACTTTGCAGCCAGTCCTGAAGGTACCAGATAAAACAGGGTCAGGTGAAAGGGGGGGAGGTCCCCCCCTATCAGTGCACTTGGAAAGGGGCAGGGAGGAGATGAGGGAGGGAGGGTGGGATTGGGAGGGAGTGAGGGTGCAGGATACAGCTGGGATACAAAGTTAATAAACTGTAACTAATATTAAAAAATAATTTAAAAAAAGAAACAAAAAGCTCTGGAATATACCAACATTTAGTGAAGCTTTAGTCAAAGATGCTTTATACACAATAGGCATTTAAATAATGAATGCATAACCTATATTATCACATTCAGTTTTTTAAACAACACTTTAAAGTAAAAAAGACCTTAGTTGTTTTTTTTTTCAGCTGTCTCCATCCTACTGTTTTTGTGAAAATAAGCAAAGTGTGCAGTGTTTCACCATTAGTTTTCTAGCATGTAGGTGATGACAACATTGTTAGTCAGTATATAGGACCACGGTAAGCATCACTAACAACAGAAGTCTTGCAAAAACAGAATAATACCGTAAGTCTCCAGTGTCTATAAGGGTTTAATGAATATACATTAGTGATAATGTTCTGCATTGATACACCAATCACTTATAATAAAAGCCTACCATGTCACTTTGAAAAGTTCTGTGAAAAACATGTGTTTATGGTTGTTAATAAAGCTGGGCAGTTATTTTATATCACATATTATTTCAAACTTTACCTTCTTTATATCTAAAACAACTCAAGTAAGAAATTGCTAGCATTGCCTTCTTAAGTTTGAATGCATTGTCCAGTTATAGAAAAGTTGCGTACAGCTATAATTGTTAGTTAGGATGTAGCCCAAAGTATTCTCCATGATCTGTAATCTTCCATGCTGTACTGACCCACATCCTGTGAACACGGGCTGACTTTTCATATGGCATACAATCTAACAAGAAGAGAGCACTTTTTTTGGGGGGGGGGAGGAGATGGGCGTGGGGTGGTGGTCAAAGAGCCTGCCATTGAGTTCCTATCAGAAATTGTTCCTGTTCCCCTTACTAGGGTACCCACTTGGATACTGAGCTACCACGGGCTACATCCGAGTAGAGGTTCTAGGTTATAACCATACATGGCCCTTGGTTGGATAAACAGTCTCATAAAAGACCCCTGTGCCCAGATATATTTGGTCCTTGTGGAGCTCCTGTCCTCTCCAGGTCATATGAACTCCCCCTTTTTAATAGAAGATGCCTTATATGTGTGTGTAGACCGTTATCATAAGGAGCACAATAGCCAGCATAAAGGTCACAATAAGTCCTCGTTTGATTTCTATTGCTGTGATAATACAATGACCAAGAGAACTCGGGAAGGAAAGGGGTTATTTGTATAACAAGATACAGTCCATCGTCAAGGAAAGCCTAGGCAGAAAGCCTAGCCTCTGGGAACCTAGAGGCAAGGGATCATCAGGGAATACTGGATTGTTCCCTGTTCTCAGTTGCTTTCTTATACTATGCAGAACCACCTGCCTAGAGCTGGAACTGCCCACGGTGGGATGAGCCCATATCAATCATTTATCAAGAAAATTTAACCCAGACATGCCCACAGGCTGGTCTGTTGGAGGTGAATATTCTGATATGCTCTTTCAGATGACTCTAGTTTTTGTCAAGTTGGCAAAAGCTAACCAACACATATCATGTCCTCTGTCATTCACATGACACTTACAGGAAGTTCTAGAGTTTGAGAGAGCAGTGAGTCATCCCTCTGAGGTAGGATTCCCAAATTCAAATCAAGCAGACCATTATTTCTATCTGACAGGTATGACAGAGGCTGAACTGCAGCAGTGGATATTAGCGATATAATATAATATAAACATACTAAAATCTATAGTCCTAAAGAAACTAAACAACAAGGACGACCCTAGGGAAGATTCTTAATCCTCATTCAGAAGGGCAAACAGAATAGACATCAGAAGTAGGAGAAGACAAGGAACAGGACAAGAGCCTTCCACAGAGGACCTCTGAAAGTCTCTACCCACCAGGGTGTCAAAGGAGATACTGAGACTCATGGTGAAACTTTGGGCAGAGTGCTGAAAACCTCATGGAAGAAGAGGGAGATAAAAAGACATGGAGGGGACAGGAACTCCACAAAGAGAACAACCGAGCCAAAAACCTGGGCCCAGGAAGGCCTGCAGAGACCGATACTCTAACAATGACTAGGCATGGAGAGGACCTAGACCCCCTGTTCAGAAGGTACAGGGGCTGTCTTTGACATGCGTTATGCCAGGATCATGAGACCCTCAGAGACCACCAGGAGACAACTCAATGCAAAAGCAAAAGAGCCTTATTACGAGAGTGATTGAACTCAGGAACCAAGTCTCACTGATGCAGCAGTAGAGAAGTGATACCCTGATCCCTGGATGAACAGGGTTTTTAAAGGGAAAAAGTGCAAACAGGGAGTTTCCATGACAGCAAGCAGGGGGTTCATGCCTTGGTGTTACAGGATTAGGTAAAAGTCAAAGGGGCGAGGTGACCCTCTAGCTGAGGCACATTATCACA